AGGCTGCGGCTGTCACCCAGCAGACCGTTTGCATAGGAAGCTTTTTAATTTATTTTCTAGTAAGTAGAAGAAACGCATGCTGAAATGATGATAAGAAGTGATGGAAAAAAGTACCATGAATGTTTGAATTTAAAAATCTTTATTACCCATTACTCCCACTCCCTTTGAGCACACTTTCCCCCTGGTTTGTGCTATTTTCTGAAGCAGTGTTCTGCAAGTCTCTTTCGTGAGTGTCTTTACTTGCAGTGGGGTAGTTGCCGTGATGTCCTGAAGTGTCCAGAGTATCTCCCTGTTGTGATCTTTATGACTGGGAAGAGCCAGAAGTCACTCAGTGACAGATCCACTGAATAAGGTGCATGAGGACGCACTATCATGTTTCTAAGAGCCTGCCTTTCTGTTGGCTGCAGCAAGAGTCACTGTGTTTTTGATCACACCTCATAAAGACACTCAGGAAAGAGAACTTCCGAACTTGCCTCAGAAAGTGGTGAGGATGATGGGACAAGCGCGCAATCAGGGACAGTCTGCGAAGGAGGGTTACTGACAGTGCACCTTTACTATAATAAATGTACAAAATGGAAACATTCACCATGTATTGTATCACCCTTCTATAACATAGAGGCACAGAAACCAGCAATGTAGTTGTCTGTGATGGTTGCAAGGATTCTTTTTTTTTTTTGGTTTTTCTCCGGTACCGGGAACCGAACTCACGACCTTGAGCTTGCCAGGCAGGCGCTTTGCCGCTGAGCTAAATCCCCAGCCCCCGGTTGCAAGGATTCTTTACGGCACAGAATCGCGTGTGCTATGTTTTGTACAGGTGGCAGTGCAGCGAGTTTACTTATGCCAGTGTCACCGTGACCAGGGGGCCCATGGCACTCTGACATCAGGTGTTTGGTTCCACGTGACAGTGGCTGCTTTGCAGCTCCATTATAGTCTTAGGGGCCACGGTAGGGGCTGTGGTTGGACACCAGTGGCCATGCTCAGGGCAGGGCTGATGCTGCGTTTCTTTGAGTGCAGCCCCCTGCTGTGAGGACGTGTGTGCTCACCAGCATCCCCCAGGAAGGGCGGAGGAGCGGGAGGTCAGTGCTGCAGGATCAGGGCTGCTTTGGCCCTTGGAGGTGTGTGGCTCCGGGTAAGAAAACACGGTTTTGCTAGTGCTTAATCTTTTTTTTTTTTTTTTCCGGTTGTCATGGCAAAATATTAGTTTCAGATTCATTCTTGGTCACTTTTTTTTGCTAAAAATAGTGCAGAAAAAATTTCCATATTGGTATCTGTGTAGTTATTTTCCAAAATTCCCTCTGTTTTCTCACTGTGACTAACCGCGTAAGGAAGTGGGTGTCTCTGTGTGATGAACGCATTGCTCCGTGTGGCGAGTGTGCTTGTAAATAAATGAAAGGGTACCGTTGCTTATATTCTTCCCCACTTAGCGCATGCTCTGCGGACATACAGCTCCTAGGAAGCCAAAGGACAGAGGCGGGAGCCCGTCGGGTGGGCGCCCAGGTTGCTCTCCCATGTCCTCTCCGTCCCGGGCAGGATATGGGGTGCAGTTTGATCCCCTTGGGTTTCTTTCGTGTGGGAGCGTACAATTTGACGTAACATTCTGTCAGGCTTGTTTAGTAGTTCTGGTTTGATCCTGTCACTTACACAGGTCACTGACACATGATTAACTTTTCAGTGTGCCTCCTTCACAGCCGTGTGTTTTACTGCTTGTTTCGGGGGGTGAGTGAAAATAAATTGTCACAACTTGCAGTCGCGTCTGGGCTGCCGGCACTGCAGTGCGTACCTTGAGCCAAACCTTCCGTCTGCGGCCCAGCTTCTGTCCTGCACGGACACCGGACACCGTGTCCTGGGCATTCAGAGGGCACACGTCTCTGGAAGTGCTGTGACACACGTGGTATCGCGCGCCTGCAGTCGGGTGGCAGCTTGTTTTCCTGAGGTGCATTTATTCCTGTCTCACCTCCTTGGCTTCTTCTTCCCGCTGACCCCTTGTTCACCTTTTGTTCAGCCTGTTCGATGCAAGTGGACATTTTTTGTTTGTTTGCTTGTTTTGCTCTACCAGGGGCTGAACCCAGGACTTTCACACTGAGCTGCATCTCCAGCTTTTTTTTTTTTTACATTTTGTTTTGAGGCAGCGTCTTGCTAACATCGCTAAATTGCCCATGCGGGGACTGAATTCATGATTCTAGTGCTCAGTCACAGGCGTGAGCCACCACCCTGCAAAGAGATATCTTTAAGAACACTGTGTACCCATTCTTGGCATGTCTTTACCCATACAAACACATGACAAAGAAAACCAAGCACATTAAATGCAGCGCCACCCCTGGGTGTGTGGCTCCTTCCTGCCCTCTGAGTGAAGCCTTTTCGCCAAGGCCATGCTGGGCACCCTGCTGGGGCCGGAACTGAGCTCAGGCTCACCGACCAGAAGCTCTTACAAGGCCCCTGCACTGCTCTTTGCGAGGGAGGCAGCTCCAGGAGAGCCTGGGTCTGATGAAGTGGAGATAGAGCGGCATTTCATTCAAGGCTAGACACAGACCCTGAGACCCGGAATACACCGCATCAGATAGGACCTCAGTCTCAGGATCCAGCCTGTGCGTGCTCCATGCCCCTTTTATCCAGTTCCATGAGGGAAGAGAGTGATAAAATCACATTCTTATGGATCAGAAGGGTGACTGACAAAGGGGTGGATTCAGAGGCTTGAGACTTGGGTTTGACTCAGCTAGGACTTGTGACTTCAACAATACTGCCGCTCATGAAGGCAGCGTCAGCACCCTTCTGAGGAGCTGCAGGACCCCGGATGGGCATTGTCTTTCCTTAAGGAAAGGGTCACGTTCAAGGTGAAGTGCGAGGAAGCAAAGACTGAGAAGACTGCTTTCCATTTATTTGGTCCTTTTATCTGAGAAGCCACAAAATGAGCAGTTTACCTTTCTTTACTGTTCTCATGGAACGAGGAAAAGCTTTTATTCCCTCACTTTCCAAGTGGTGAGAGAATCTGTGGTGGGCAGTGTTGCCTGGTGATCTGTTAAAGCAGAATTCTAGACTTGCAGAGCCTTAGACGGGACTCAAGGGTACTCCCTGAACTGGAAGGACATAGAGGCTCTGAGCCCTTGGTTTGTCCAGGGACAGATTCCTTTAGTGTGGAGCCAAGAGAGCTTCTAGGTTGTAGACCCTGGGCCCTGTGTGTTATCCATGCACCTTGCTTGATTTGTTCATTCTCTCACTCAGGCACTGTTGGCTGTTCTCACGGGCCAGGTGCCCACCTAGAGCAAGCAGAGCAGGACTCCTTCCCCAAGAGGCTCACAGATTGGTCACGAGTAGTTTTGGCTTGGGGGCAGTAGTTAATGAAGGAGAAGAAGTAGGGAGATTAGTCAGTACAATAGTGATCTCTGTATAAATGTAAGTACAGTGGTGGGGTTGATCCAAGTTAGGACAGAAAACAGACTTCCCTTTAGCCTAGGGTTCTAGAAAGTTCCGAGTTTGGCAGGAGGGATGAGTAGGGCATGAGTGGGTACAGGAAAGGGGCAAAAGGATAGAAAATTGGAATCAGTCTGAACCAACAAGAGGAGCCGTAGGGATTCTGGACTGACCCTGTCTGAGCACACAGGTCCTTACAGAGTCACGCACCACACCACATTGCAGTTGGTGATGGTCCCGTAAGTATTCACAGGCCGGAACATTCCCATCCTCGAGTGACGGTTGCAGCTGTCCCGATGTTTTAGCCCTGCACATTCTGGGTTGGTGGTGATGCTGGTATAAATAACCCCACTGTGCTGTCAGTAGGGTAAAGTACAGCACTGCTGTGGTTCATGTCTCAGTGTCCCCCACTACCTCATGTGCTCGTAGGTGGGGGTCCTGGAAGTGCCTGCCTTAAGGAGCTGACTTGCTGTTAGGAGTTGGGGTCTGCTGGGAAGACGGGGAGTGTGACCTGGAAAGATTCATCTCCCTCTGCAGTTCCTCCCTTCTTTCTCCGCTTCCTGTTCACCATGAGGCGAGCAGCTGTCCTCTGCCATGTCCTCCTGCCACATCTCCCTGCCTGGAGCAGCAGAATGAACTAAAACTGCGAGCCATAATAAACTGCTCCTCCTTTACATTGTGCGTGTTGGGCGTTTAGGCCCAGCCATGAGGAAAGTGGGATTTATACCAGCATCACCACCAACCCAGGAAAGTGGCTGAGACAAGCACAGTGAGTTACATACCGCCCATGGTAACGGATAATGATGCTAAGCAACTGGCGACCTATCAGTACACTTGTGTTATTGCTCTGAAGTGCGCTCCCGGTCTACTTAGTTTTATAAAAGGGTGTCTGTAAAGAAGTATGCCAGCTTCCAGCCTCAGCTTCCTGTGACTGTGAGGCCTGGTCCCAGGACAGGCCTGACATCCAGGCCTCTGTGTAAATACACTGTGAGGCTTGCACAGCTGCAAAGGCACCCAGTAATCCTCTTGGAATTTGTCCTCATCATTAGGTGACATGGACTGTTTTCCTGTCTGGGTCGTACCTAGCTGGTTTTCTTGCTCTAATCTCTCCTCTAATCTGTTTAAATTCCTCTGCATGTCAGATATCTCGTGCAGTGAAGTCTGTGTGGCTGTCCTTCCCAGTGGTGGGGTCAGGACAAGCTCGGTCACTCCCCTGGTGTTCTTGTGAGGGACAGTGTAGTGCTGACCTCACAAGGCTCTTTTATGGACGTTGCACTGGCCTGAATCATTACCTGCATTTTCTACCCATCTGTGTAATCCACGGATATGTTATTCAATATGAATTCACTTGTTCACCTAAAGCTTATCACTGGTATATCTTAATTAATACCATGAACCTGGACCATTATTTTATTAGAATGCCTCAATGTCCTTATCCTGGGATGTTAGACAGCGGCAGCTGTCATTGTTAGAGGTACTGACTCCATTGTTTGGTCAGGAGAGGGCCGTGTTTGCCAGAGAACGCTGAGAAGCCAGTTGTTGGTCTGTCAGATCTGACTTCTGCTGACAGTTGATAGATGTTTCCTGGGAAAATGGGTAAGATGAAGGAAGTGAGTGCTGGGTAAATGGAGAACAAAATAGATTTGAGTGCTTAAAAAATACATCACAAACTTCAATTTGGAAATTTAAATTTCTGCTTTTCCAGTTCTTTCAACAGATCGAGTTAGGAGATTTGTTTTATCAAATAAAAACCTCCTAATACCAGAAGCCACTTTGATTATTTAGCCATACAAAATGTTTATAATCTGTTGTTTTATTCTGGGGAAAAAAACATGATCCAAAAATATTGACCTGGATTCTTTAGGTAAAAATGGCAAATGTTTTCTTTGCAGACTAGCACGTTGCTTTTGAGTATGGAACAGGCGAATGCAGTATTGTGTGGAACTCAGAAAGCCTTTTTTTTCCCCCAAAAGGAGAAAAACTCACTCTTCCCTCACACATAAGTACACGAAGAAGGCTCAGAGGAATTCTGAGAGAGGAATTATTAACCTAGCTAGAGGGGTCTGCATGGCCACGGTGACCACGAGTAGCATGTCGTCCGTGAACTTGGGCAGTGCAGAGCGTTCCAGCAGGCTGGCGCAGTCCTGAAAGGCACAGGGAGGCCGAGTGCGCCAGGAGGAGCGCCAGAGGAACTGGTGCATGGGGAGGAATTCATTTCATGCTCGGTGGAGTTCAGTGTCCCCAGGTCTGGCCGCCACTTCAGCCCATGCGCAGAGGAGTGACTGTCCCGTGTCCTGAAGGAGGACAAGGAATAAATGGGTGTTGCCGCCACGGTGACTGCAGAAAGTAACGGTGCTCAACAAGAATGCGTGCTCCGACTCGGGACCGCGTGAGAGGGACGGGTCACACCCGGGCCGTGCCACCCCCTTGGCTCCATTTTAGGTGTGAAACCAAACTTTTCCTCTTGGTCTCTTGACCTTGATGCCCTTCCTGACCCTTTGATTCCTGACCCTGCTTCCTGCCTGCTGCCCTGCAGTTGCTCTGTTGAAATATTTCAGTCATTTTTGAAATGACTCAGCTACCTGGGGGACTTTCGCCCAAATCCATTCTACCACATGCCCCCTCCGGCACCTCTTTCCGGCTCACTTTTATCTGCTAGCAGGTCTGGGCCGAGCAGCAAGGAAGAAGAGTGACTCCACAGAGCAAGGGGAAATGCAGTGTGCGTAAGGCATCGTTTTTAGGGAGGATCCCCAACCCCACCCTGTACTAGCTTCTCGGAGGTTTAATTTTAATGAGCAATAGCTTGGATTTTTTAAATGAAATTAATCATGTAAAGGTTCTTCTGCACAGCTGAGACTATCAAAGTCATCTTTGCCTTCTCCTCCTTGTCCTCCTCCTTTTTTGGAGTGTTGGGGATTGAGGATTGAGCCAGGGCCTGGCACATGCTAGGCAAGAAAGAGCTCGACCCCTGAGCCCAAACTGGAGTATTTCAAAGCCTACCTAGTGCAAAGAACTGCCTGACGCTGACGACTATGATTGAGATATTGCTCACTAACATGATGTTCGGTTTATGCTCCTGAGGTGTGAGCTGTGTTCTCTCAGTGACTCAGGACAAAGACTATAGCATAAGGGTGTGGGGTGTCCCATGACTGCCTGACCCCCTACCATACCCTAGTGACACTAAAGGGTGCTCTGTGTAGGAAATGGAGAGTTCCCTAGGTGTCCAGCAGCCTCATGAGGTGAATGAGGAGAAAGTGTTGTGTAGTCAGGTACTTGTTGGCTCTAGAGAAAGGCATTGCTAATTCAGTTCCTGTAACCTTGGTTTTTTCTCTCACTTGCCCCGTCCGGCACAGGAAATGGATAGCATTGATGCTACTGCAGATCTTAATGCTCATTTGGAATACAGAACACAAAATGTGGTCTTTGCTGCTTTGGTAAAGCACCATAGTGTGAAAGCATGTTCTGCTTTAAATTATTAGCTCAGAAGGATTTGAGCCAGATTACTTGAACATTCTGGTCATAGAGTGGAGAATATTATTATCTCATTATCAGACAATAAGTATCAACTGCTGCCACCAGGCAAGTACCATGCTCAAGGATTTATGTGTCACTTTAACAGCTGCACCATAAAATATATGTGTCAATGAGGTGTGTTGTAACCCAGCTAAGCAGGGGAGAGGCTGAGGCAGGAGGATCACTCACACTCAGGAGTTCAGAACCAGCCTGGGTAACACAGTGAGACCACATCTCAAAAAACAAACAATAAACCAAAATAAAATTGAGTATCTAACTGTTGGTTTATAAAAATAATTGTTTGGGGGAAATGCCACCGTTAAGCAGTGATTCATTTGGTTTCTCATAAAGTTTTTTTATTCCTTTTTAATTTTGAAAGAAGTCCCTGTAAAGGAATATGATTAAAATAACCAATTTTAAATTAAAAATGAAGATAGCCAGGTGGGGTGGTACACACCTGTAATTCCAGCACTTAAGAGGTGGAAGCAGGAGAATCACTGTGAGTTCGAGGCCAGCCTGGGCTACATGGTGAGTTCAAGGCCAACTTGAACTACATAGGGAGAGTCTGTTTCAAAAAAAAAGAAAAAGAAAAAAGAAAAAAACAGAATACACATATTAAATATAGTATCTGATATAAATCTGTTTTATGTTCCAATATTAAGAAAATGCTCTAGAATATTAACTATTTTCTATTGGGGCCATAAAGTCCAGTCCATTGGCTTGAATATAATCCTTCTATCATGGTAGAATTAGTAATGGGTGATTCTTTTTTATGTGAAAAGTTTTTTAGAGACCACCTAATAAAATTTTAAGAATAGGTGCATGGTCAGTTTGCTTTTGAACACAGCAATTCTTACAAAAATAATGTTTTCTAGTAATTTAAATGGCTAAATATTGTAAGAGAAAATAGCATTGAGCGTGTTAGGCACTGCCTAGAAATGTAACAGTTGAAGATATAAATAAGGCCTTCTGTAGAACTAAAACTGTACTGGGCTATTTTTCAAGTTTCACTGAAAGACAAATACTTGAGAAATAGTACGGACCATATGTCCTTTACAAACAAAAGATTATGTCCTGTGACCTTTGAAGGTCAAGTGCTATTAAATGAGAGAAACCCCAGTGCTAACACCCTCCCCACCTTCTCCGTGGTGTCTATTCTATAGAAGTTTGTAGATCTCGCTGGAATCCTTCCTGCTATTATCTTTTTACCAAGATAGCACTAAAGCAGTGCTAGAGAACCTAATGGAGGTACTTTTCCCATGGTCATGCAGAAATTATTTTCTGAGGAGTTTGGACCTGGTACTGATCCCAGCCACTTAAAGATAAAATCTGTGGAGACAAAGGGACTCTACAAGCACAGAGATGAAGAGAGAGTTGAAGAGAATGTTGAAAATTGGGTCTTTGTGTTCTAAAGTTTTAGTCACCAAAGAAAATAGGCGGTAGAGAAAGCACAGAGAGAGAGAGAGAAAAGTCTTAAATAATTACAGGGATTATGGGGACACAGGACACAGGAGAGGAAGCCCCTCATCTAAAGAGAAGGTGCGCAATTTCCTTGCTCAGTATGTACATTTGAATATTGACTTGAAAACCTATCTTCCCAACATTTTACTATGATAATCTCCACCGTAAGAGTAGAAAGCATGGTGCAGCGAGGGCCTGGCCTCCACTCTGATTCCACAGTGAGCATTTTTCTCTGTTTTCTTTATTGACTGTCAGCCCATGTATGCATCTCTCTATCCATCCACAAGTTTTATTTCTGATGCTTTCCAAAATGAGTAGAAGGGATAAATACTAAATTCCTAAATACTTTAGCATGTGCATCAGTATTGGTTTGTGATCCTTTTTACTAGTTGAGATAAAATTACATGTACTAAAATACCCAAGTCTGCCCAAATCTTAGGTGTCCTCATTCTGATTCTTTTTCACAACTGCATCTGCCTGTTACTAAGATGCTGAACATACACCTTCTCCCAGGAAGCTCGTTGTGTCCCTTTTCTGAGGGGTCAGTCCCTGGTCCTGGGACCCGTGCGTATGCTCTTCTTGTAGAGGAGTTTGCGTGTCCCAGAGTTTGTGACAGGCAGCCCATTCTGTATGCCCTGCTTTGGGTCAGGCTTGCTCCACTCAGTGTGTGGGCCTGCAGTCTATCAGTTCCCCTGCCTCTGGGGTTTGGCGCTTCTGACGACCGGGTGAATTTCTGACTTGCAGGCCTGTTCCCCGCCATTCTTAATCTGGCCACCAATGCTGAGATCAGCGCCAATGCCACCTGTGGTGAGAAGGGACCCGAGATGTCCTGCAAACTCGTGGAGCACGTGCCTGGCAGGCGTGCACGCAACGCCCAGTGCCGGCTCTGTGATGCCAACAGTGTGAACCCCAAAGGTAAGTGAGGCTCCTTCTGTTCCGGAACAACTTGTTTTGTTACTTTACGCTTATTTTATTTTATGTGAGGCTGTGCTATGCTGTGTTCGGTTATTTCATTTCATCATTTTATATTAGTGTGTCTCAGTGCACCCCAGCCTTGCGTCTGCTAATGGAGCTGCTGCCACCCTGGTGGCTTTTGGAGGTGCTAACTGAGGCTTTCATTAGAGGCCATGAACGTGGTGTTCACCTTCAGTGCTCTTTCCGTTATGAGTTTAGAAGTTCAAGGATTTAAAGCAGGAGCTTTAAAGAGAGAAGAATGCATGTTTCCATTTTCTTTTTAACAGAGCGCCATCCGATATCAAATGCGATCGATGGCACCAATAATTGGTGGCAGAGCCCCAGCATTCAGAACGGAAGAGAGTATCACTGGGTCACCATCACTCTGGACTTAAGACAGGTAGGTCAGGCCAGAGCTGTTGGAGAGGACTGGGCTGCTGGAAGGTGGGCTTACAGCGGCTGCTGGGAAAGTCTGCCTTGTTTCCCAACTTGTGTACATTCTGATCTTGCTCTCTACCAGCGGCAGTCACAGGAGTAGTACGTGACACCATTTCTTGTCACCTATGGAGACAGGTGAAGTTACTTTCCTGTAGCTGGTGTTCTTTGCACCTCCACAGTGGGAAATACTCATGGTTCAGGATGTTAAGCCAGGCATGTGCCAGATGCCCTGGGAAGGCACAGGACCAAGCACGTGCGCTCCTCCCATTCAGGCTTAGTACTGTCTTGCTGTCATCATCGTGCAGAGTTCCTGTGTGTGGGCTCAGCACAAAAGGGGATGGTGTGAAACCTCGTGGTTAAGCCTCACCTGTGCCAGGTGCGTCTGTCAGGGCCCGGGGCAGAGGGAGCTGCTTGGGACTGAAGTGGACAACACCACCAGCACGTGGTGGGGAAGGCAAGTCCATACCGTTCTGGCCTCACTTGTGTCTTCTTACATGACTTCAAGGCCACGGGGGAGAATGGAACACAAGGTTGGCATCATTGCCCCTGTATTTTTAGAAAAGATGAAGGGAAAGAAGTCTGAAAAGAGAAGGTGCAAAAGAGAGATAGGAAATATTTTGTAGCTACTGTCGAAGTTTTTGATTTGAGTTCTTTGTAAAACCCATTGCATGACATTCTTATTTCCATCTGAATTCTCTTGTGTTGGAACTCATACATTTCATGTAAAATATTTAGATGACTTGAAAGAGGTAAACAGTTGAGGTGAATTGAACATTGTAGGATTGGAATAGGAATTTTAGAGATTTAGTGACAATCAATCAGAACTCCTTAAATAGGTGATAGTTTTTAAAATGCACAAGATTTTAAGTAGAGGACCAAAGGATGGTGTGCACATTTAGGCATAAGAAATGTTTGATCTCTGGTAATTATAGTGAATAAGGAAGCAAAATGGGAAGCTCATTTATGCTATGTTACGGCTAAGGGTCCTCCAAAGGTGTGATTGTCATGGTGGCGCTATTGGGAAGTGAGGGAACCTTCAAGAGGTGTGGCCTAGTAGGAGGAAGTCAGGTCACTAGCAGTGTACATTTGGAGGGGATACTGGGGCCTTGACCGCTTCCTGTCTCTTACTTCTGGGGCTCTGAGGCGAGCAGCTTCCTCTTCCACACACTCCTGCCGTGGTGTGAGGCCTCCCTCATCACAGGTCCAAAAGCAGATGGGCAAATTGACCATGGACTCTGCGACTGTGAGCCAAAGTGAACCGTTCCTCTTCCTTAGGTATTTTTGTCTCAGTGGTAGAAGTCTGGGTAAGGCAGTAAGGTCAGCCAAATTAAGAACGGGTTATTTTCCATATAGGCTTCAGACCTTGTGAGACTGTTCTCGGTCTTGATGGAGATTTAGATCTTTGAGGGATACTTAGAAAACAAACATGGTGCCTAGGTATAGTCCTTTCTAAGTAATGCCTGGTGTTTTGAGGTAGCCTAAAAAAAAAGATAATTAAAACAATTACCACTCAGAGATTTCTTTACTTTTTGCACAGTACAAAAATCATCCTGTGCTGTCTTTTGAAAAGAAAATTACAGTAAGTTTATACCTTGGCAAGTCTTTCTGAAGCTTATTTTTTTATTGAGCTTTTTAATTGTGTACTTTTTTTAATGAGTAGAAAGCACATTACAGTGAACATACATAGATCTTCCCCTTGAGGTTCAGGGAATTTTAAGCTTTGTGCCCCATTTGTTTCAAATGAATTGCAATCATCTGGACATTTTATCAGCATTTCAGTTTGTGTATTTATTTATTTATTTATTTTTGGTTGTTTTTTTTTTTTTTTTTTTTTT